TTTCCTCCATTCCTGTATTTAATCTGTTTGCAGGGTTTCATTTTTTAAATCTTTTTGACAAGTTGTTTTACTATAGTTTATGTCAGACAGCCACTGCCATATCACCATGCAGCCCAAGACCGCTTACTCACTGAAGCTAAGCAGGGCTGAGCCTGGTCAGTACCTGGATGGGAGATCACATGGGAAAACTTGGTTGCTGTTTAAACTAATGTTAGTGAAGCCAGCAGGGGGCGCTCAACCTGTGGTCTGTGTGATTCCTAATGCCTCAGTAAAAGTGAAGGGGGCACTATACTGTCAGTGAGCGCCGGATGAGACGTTAACTGATGAGACATCCTGACTCTCTGTGGTCATTAAAAATCACATGGCACGTCTCGTAAAGAGTAGGGGTGTAACCCCAGTGTCCTGGCCAAAGTCCCTTAATCATCCCCATCCACCAAATTGGCTCTATCACTGTCTCTCCACTCCACCAATAGCTGGTGTGTAGTGAGCGCACTGGCGTCGTTGTCCTGTGGCTGCCGTCGTATCATCCAAGTGGATGCTGCACACTGGTGGAGGTGTGAAGAAACCCCCCCTCATGATTCATACATTCCAGAAAAATTCTCATTTGGCCATTATATATCGTTTACGTGGCAGATGTTGCACTCTCTCTCTTTCGCTCTCTCTCGCTCGCTAGCATGTTTGAATACTTGTGCTATATGACAATATAAAAGCTTTCTTTTGTTGTTCTAGTATATGAAATGTAAGGTTTGGGACTCTGCTAAAGTCTGTTCTGAAATGAAAGCATCAGTGTTGACATCATTCGCTACAGTTTTTAATCACGTGCGACTCGCATTGACAGGGGAAAATTTGATTTACTTGCTTACACTGCAGACATGAGGCCATGGATCCAATTTATATCGGATAAATTTCCACATATGAACAAGACCTGAATCTGATTCAAGTAAATCAGAATCCATGTGATTTGTTTCCTGCTTACATGGACATGACCTGAATCCGATCTGTGCGACACAAAAGAAAAAAATCTGAATTGGCTCACTTGAAGCATGCTGTGTAAATGCAGCCTTGGAGCGAAATCTCAAACCAACAGGGGGTCAGATATTTTTTACTTCTTCTGCCAAAAAAGTGACATTTTTATATTTTAATGAACTCCTCCTAGAGATTTTATCAGATCAACACCAAAATTGGGTATTGTGATCTCAAGGCCTTGGCAATGTTAAATTGCGATGATCTACAGTTTTTGTTAAAGGGCGTGTCTGTGGCGGCCTCACAAACTTTGATGTTTTGCCACGAAACAGGAAGTTGTTTTAACTCAGCCACACAATGTCTGATCTGCATGACTATTCACATTTTCCATGAGATTCCTCTTCTGAAGACAACTACAATCCGATAATGAGTAATTCATAGCGCCACCTGCTGACAGATGAAAGTTTGGCAAAAATCTGTGATTTTTCTCAGGTTTTTTATATTTATCAGCTTAAATTATTGTTGTCCGCTGTTCTGTCATACTAAGGCCACCAGGCAGCGGTGAGCCTGGGTGTGAGGTCACTTTCTTCACTGCTTGCAGCATTAACCTTTATTCTGCTATCCTCACATAAATGTAGCATAGTGTCCTGCATCCACGTATAATATTATCAAAAATTATATCCAAGTGTCAAAGTCCTTTTTGATTTGACTTTATGCCCATATCTATGACTTTTCACAGTCACAACACGTTATGGGAAATTTAAAACAGCCGCCCAACACACAAGAAGCAACTAATTTCTGTTGAAATGCTGCCACAAGAACCATATTTTTCAAGAGCCGGGGTTGTTTGTTTACAGTGACATGAGAGAGAGCAAATAATGACAGAATGTTCAATTTGGAGTGAACTAATCCCTTCATTTGTAACAATATGCGCTGTAAAGATCAGTGGGACATCGATTACATCTTTGCTTTCTTAGTCACAGTACTTGGCATCATAATGACAGCGGATTACGGCTCCCTGGGCACATCTTGCACCGTTCTCTTGAATTGTCCTCGTTGTGGTTTCAGGTCTCTGAATCCTCTAAAGCAGCATATGTAGCCAGCGTTGCATGGCTAAATGTCGTTGGCGCGCTTAAAAATCGATCTGTAATGCGTATCTCTCAACATTGGCCCACCTTGTTGCGAGTCTTGTGTGCTGTAACCATAGCAGAATGCGGATGGGTCATTCTCCATCTGCTAAAACCCAACAGGACACTCTTTACACCTGCATGGCATTGTTACGAGACAGCGATAGGGATGTAAAAATGAAGGGTAGCTCTTTGAACAAATGTTGAATGTTTCGACGGTGTTAGTGTGTACGCTGAACATCGCCAGTTAGTGTTTGCAACAGCTGCAGTTTGAATGTGAATACAGGCTCTTGGAAGCTCGCTTGTCTTTTCCTCTGAGGCCAAACTGTGCAGTGATTCCTGACTGCAGACAATCAGGCTGGAGAGAGAGACAGCCACGCAATACAGATCAGCCAATCAATGAGGCAAATTCTCCTAAACCTTTGTGTCCTGTATTCATTATCATTCATTTGCAGCCGCTGGACTGGCATCGGTACATCAGAACAGCAATTCTTCATCATGGAGCCTGCTGTTCTTGCTATTGCTGAGTAGACACTGCCCCCTGGTGCTGGCAATCGGCACATATCTCTGCAGCAACAGATTCCACTGAACAGACTGGGACCGTTCGGAGTTATTTATAGGGTGTTACACAGATCTCAGTGGCTCAATTAATGTGTAAGAATGAAACAGGCTGATATTAAATTTCCATCCATAACACAGTCCATTTCTGTAATGCGACACACAATAAAATTGTGCATAATCGTGCATATATTTAGGCCAGTAGTAAATGTCCAGGCGTGGAGTGCAGCACTTCAGTTATCTAATGAAGCTTGATATTTGTCTTACTTTAGCAGACTTGAAGCAGGGAAGCTATTTCTGAGCAAATAGATGATTTTTCTGTTAAGGGATGTTTTCTGTCTCCTGTTATTTTGTAGAAAAGTACTTCTGATTTAGATGGTAGGGTATAATCGATTTTTCTATTTAATTACTTTTTTCCATTCTTTTTAGTGCTTCTGGATTTGAGCTCTGCTTTCATTTTTGTGGACAATTGGATTGTCTTATCTTGTCAAGTTTGAATTAGAAGCACTGTTTCAAATTTGTATTTAAAAAATCTTTCATAAAGATATGGAACTTTTTCTGTTAGTCGTGGCAAGAATTTCATTCGGGCTCAGTTTTGGTGCTGATGCTATTCTTATACATATGTATTACACATACATATTATATATGTATTATATCTTATATTTTCTACCTATTAGGTCAATTTAAAATCTGATGTGTCATATCACTGCTAAGCACACTATTCTGCACACCAATAAAGTGAAATTATAATTCAACTAAAAAGGGACTTGCAGTCTGTCTTCATTAACTAAAATTAGAGATGCTATGCACCTAAACTGAAATTATCATCTTCATACAAAAAAAAAGCATTACAGATAGGACTTGAATGAATGAATAAATAAATAAATAAATAAAATCTGGAATTAGAATTTGTCCTTAAATGTCTTTTTGTTTTACATTTGTAATGTTTACAAGTACACTATCTGACAAACGTTGTGAGAGCAACAAATAACAACTTAGTAGATCATTTAGAGATGTCAAAATGTAGATTTTTCTGATGAGTCATCTGTTGAACTGCATCTCAATCATCACAAATACTGCAGAAGACCCAGCATTGAACCAAGATTTTCATTGAAATCAGTCAAGTTTGGTGAAGGAAAAATCATGGTTTGGGGTTACATTCAGTATGGGGACATGAGAGAGATCTGCAGAGTGGATGGCAACATCAACAGCCTGAGGTATCAAGACATTTTGTGCTGCCCATCACATTACAAACGAGGAGAGGGCAAATTCTTTAGCAGGATAGCGCTCCTTATGCTTCAGCTTCCACATCAAAGTTCCTAAAAGCAAAAAAAGGTCAAGGTGCTCCAGGACTGGCCAGCCCAGTCACCAGACATGAACATTATTGAGCATATCTGGGGTAAGGTGAAGGAGGAGGCATTGAAAATGAATCAAAAGAATCTTGATGAACTCTGGTAGTCCTGCAAGAACGCTTTCTTTGCCATTCCAGATGACTTTATTAATAAGTTATTTGAGTCATTGCAGAGATGTATGGATGCAGTTGTCCAAGCTCATGGGAGTCATACACAGTATTATTTCCTTTTTCACAGCACCATGACTTTATATGCTATTTTGTACATTATTTCTGTTAAGTGACAATACTTTTGTCTAAGCAAAGTCAAAGCTTACTGTCCTAATTAAATAATTAAAAATAAAGGCATAATCATATTTTATTTTGCTAAAATAAGTGTAACCTAGAGGTCTTTGCTTTTCATATAAGCCACTTCTGATACCAACTGATCAACTAGAAGTCATGTTATTATTTGTTGTTCCTAAAACTTGGAAAAGCGACAAGACTTTTGTCAGGTAGTGTGGCGTTTTAAAATCATTATTTTATTTAAAATCAAGTTAGTGTTTTAAAATCATTAAAATACATGTTTGAACATTTACACCAATCTTTTTTTTCAATTAAAGAATATATTTTTATATTAGTACAATACATCATATATTATTTATTAGAGCCTCGCTAAGAACAGTTGATGCAGCCCTGAAAGTTTGCTGACGTCTTTAATTCTCTGATTAGGAATTATTTTATAATATTTAATAATCAGAAACAAAACTATTTCTTCATTACTTACATAATGTAACTGCTTTTGTTAAGTTCCAAATGTCAAAAATATTTACACACAGTATCAGAAATCCAGTTTAGATCCCATATCCAGTCAAAATCCTCTTAAGGATCAGTTTTTACCTAAAATATGCTGCTTTGAATTCTTTTTTGTTTTTAATCCAGGATAAATGTTGTGACAGACAGTCTGAAAAGCATCTCCAACTCCAGAATCCTACATGTATGTATTTTGTTGCTGTGTGCAGGATCTTGGAGCTTCAGCAGAATGGAGACATGGACATCCTGAAGCTAAAGTGGTGGCCGAGGGACAGTCCGTGTGACCTGTACTCTCCTGTGGGCACTCGGAAAAGTGGCAGCGCCCTGGACATCCACAGTTTTGCAGGAGTCTTCTTTGTACTAGCGGCCGGTGTGGTTTTGTCCTGTCTCATTGCCACAGTGGAGACCTGGTGGACACGAAGAAAGGGCTCCAGAGTCCCATCGAAGGAGGTGAGAGTCGATCATAAACCTCTGTCATAAACACAATAGTGGCACACGATTCAATACAATAACTATAGAGATTTTCCAGGTGCCAGAGAACAGATGGAATTCCACATCAGTCTTAAAATCCCTCTTCATGCTGGACACTGAAAAATATAACCGCATAAATGGGTGGTATGACGGACTCTTGAACTTATAACTTCTGATTTAGGCAGATATTTCAATTAAAATCAAAAGATAAAGAATGTAAATTAAGATTACATATGAATGTAAATATTAATTACGTTGTAATAATTAATTACGAATACTAACTACTGGATAATGCCACTGATAATAACCACATGCTATATCAGATGATCTAATGATAAATTATAATAATAATAATCTCATTTTTATATTATATTTATTAATTGAAACTAAGTGGCTGCAAATAAAAGTATAACAATTATAAATTATTAAAAAGATAATTGTCACATTTAAAGTTGTAAAACTGGATTTGCACAAATCATTTTATAATACTGCAATGCTGCAGTGTTACTCAGCAACCATAATCATTGTTTTCTTAGCATAACAGACAAACTATAAAGGGTTTACCCAAAGTCAACATTACTTGCCCTTATGTTTATCCAAATCTATATGAGATTGTTTCTTCTATCGAACGCAAAAGAAGATGTTTTGAAGAATGTTGCCAACCAAACAGTTCACAGTACACATGGACTTCCATAGTACAGCAGGGGAAAAAGTAAATAATTGCAGCTAACTTTCTGGTCACCAATATTTTTCAAAATAGCTCAACAGAAGTTCAACAAAATATATTTTGAACTTAATTATAAACTAACAATATTCCTCTAGATTTGTTGAAGATGTTTCATTTTAAATGCTGTTTCTTAGTCACTATCAACTGTAAATAAACATAAAAATGTGCAATGACAGCCACACTGACAACAAACAGAAAAGCAGAATCTCCAACAGTCATGGATGTCATACCACCCAGCAGTAAAAGTACATTTAGTACATTAAGAACAACAAAAAAAGTTCTTCAAATGAAAAATATTCCACTGTACAAACAGCAGACAAAGCAGTTTTTTTTCTGATAATGCACATAAACAAACGAACCTACCCATAAAGAACACAGTGTTGTTCAATTGCCTGCCAAACACATTAATAAATAGATGAAATAAATAAATAAGTAAGCCGATGCTAGAAAATATTTATATCCTGATAAAAGCTAGATAGATCTAGGCAATTATGTAAAGACAAGGCTCTAATTTCCCCTAAAGGGATAATTCACTCAAAAATGTAAATTCTCAATTACTCAATCTAAGCATATTCCAAATCTTCTGTTGAACACTAAGGCAGATTTACTGAATAATGTTGGAAAAACAGCCAATAACTTCAAATTAGTTTTTTATTATTTATTTATGTAATTTACTAAATGTTACTATCACTGAAAATGCACAAAAGCACGCACACCACTCTAAATGGGTGCTCACACAAAAAAAAAAAATCCTGGTTGCCTTAAATTTTTAAGCTAAATCAAATCCTTATGAGTCCATTGAAGTTATGTTAAACTGACTTAAAACAGCTTGTATGACTTATAAAATTAAGTTAGAACATGATTAGCTTAGATAAATAAGTTACAATGAATTAAAAACATATGCTGTCATGACAAATGGTTCATATAATTGTTTACAGTGCAGCGATACACCCAAAAGTGCAAAAATAAATAAGGCAGCAACACCAAAGCTCCAAAAATGTATTCAATTTAAAAGGCTAACATAAAGTGAGTAATGTTTCAAGCACACCTTGAAACATTCCACACTTTGTGCTAGCCTTTTTAATTCAATAAATTGGTATTTTTGAAGCTTTGGTGTTGCTGAATATGTGGATGAGTTAAATTGAAACGTTTTGGGTAGGTGGGATTATTAATGGTTAGTGCCAATCAAAGCTGCATCTATTAAAAAAAATACAAAAAATACAGACTATAATTTAATAAATAATAAAAGTTTTAAATATATATTTTAAATGTCATTTTGGAGGGTTTAATAAAGGTACACTATTTGTACTGAATAAACACAGTGATAATTTAGTATTGATTATTCCTACTATGGATGCATTTATGGCTGTTTTTCTCCAACATTCTACAGAATATCTTGGGTGTTTTTTTTTTTTTTTCAACTGACGAAAGAAATTCAGAGAAAGTTTTAAAACACTAAAGTGCATGTAAACAATGAGGAGTTTTTTATTTCTGCGTGAACTATCCCTTTATTATGTGAACAACTGTCTAGACCAAAGATGCCCAAACTAGGGCATGCGGGTCACAGTTGGCCCATGGTAAGCTTTAATTTGGCCCACCATCCCCTCTGAGAAGAGAGTGAGAATGATGGGAAGGGTCGGAGCGAATGCCTTTAACTAAGATAATAATTTCTAACTTAACGTAACGTTGGTTTGTTTTATTGCTAAGAAAAGCAAACTGAAATCAAATGATTCAATTACAGGTTTGTAAATGAATTAGATTTTTTGTAGAAATACAAAAATACTGTCACTTGACGGATAGAGGAAAATGCAGAAGACATCAGCATGCAAATCAAGGCAAAAACAGGAGCAGCTTGCCAAGTGTAACCTCATTCTGTTATAAATGAGATTGTTTTTAACTGTAATAAGTTCGTTATAATATTAAAAAATATATAAACTGTGTTAGATAAAATAAAATAAAGCAATGTTTTCTAGTTAGTTTACATATTAAATAAATTAGGAAATTACCCATGGCAAATTTAATGGAATAGAGTTTGGTATATTTACCCCACCACACACAATCAAGTTTGGTTTTTGGCCCTTCATAAGACAAAGTTTGGGCACCCCTGGTCTAGACTAATGTGTTTGCACATATTGTTTTTCCTGTTCAAACAACTGTTGGGCAGTGGCTCTTTTGCATAAAGGTAGCCCTAATTAACAAATTGCTTGCATTTCACATGACAACACCCGTAAAAGTGACATTCATACGTCTGTGACTGAACCAGTGTGATGTTGCTTTTTGATGTAATGAGTTTATAGCATTGTTCTCTTATCTGCAGCTGTCATATTGTGGGTGTTTCTTCTCCTGAAAAAACCCATCCCCATCTCCCTCATTTCTCCAATCGAGTTCCATCACAAACCCCAACATACACACCTTGACCCTCTTCGCTCCGTCTCATCAGACTCTCCACGGGCCAAAAAACATCACATTTCATCTCCAGCGTTCCACCTGAAAAACAAACTGCGTAGGGCTTTTGATCAGCGGTCAGGGGCTTATTCTTGTCTTCCGTCCTCCTGCCATGAAGCAGCTTTTATGTGTTCATGACCCCACAGAGAGAGACAGAGAGACGGAGAGCGGCTGTCCTTCATCCTCACTCCTCTGAAGGCCACTGTCCACTTCACTGCTCACTAGCAGGGCCAAATTACTCTTGATGCATTTCTTTTGCACTAGTTTGAGTCCTGGTAGCTAAGTAGAATTCAAAATTGTGTTTTGTTTCATTGTAGAATTATATAAATAGAAGGTTTAAGATAGACGAATAGTTGATTTGACATATTTGTACATATGAACAAGGTCCAAATTAACACTGAATTAAAAATGGCTTGGAACTTTATTGGGACACCATGAGGTGTAAATTGAATTGTGATAATAATCTTTTTTTAATCAAAAGTTACTATCAATCAAAAGATTGGAGTAGATGGAGGTATCCATGGTTTGTATTTATTTCAAACTAGCATACTATAAAACAAATTATTAATTTCAATGTGAGTGTGTATGGGTGTTTCCCAGTACTGGGTTGCAGCTGGAAGGGCATCCGCTGCAAAAAAAAAAAACATATGCTGTGGCGACCTCTGAAATAGAGACTAAACCGAAGGAAAATAATTTAATGAAAAATTTGAATGCAGAATCTATTCTAATATACTTTCAAATATGATGTTTTAAATGGCTTAACAATGGTATGCTATTTTTACTGAATTAACACAATGTTGTTTTAAGAACTTTGTGTGTTAAACTAAATATTTGAATGGCTTTATTTTAACATTTTCATATTGGTTATTAAATAATAAATTCCAGAATGATTAAGTTTATTCCAGTCGATACTATACGCAAAACTTCAACATATATAAAAGTATAGGCATATAGAGATTAAAAAAACTAATTATGAAAGTTCAATGTGCAAATAATTACATTTTAGCAATGAATCAGTGAAGAAATAATCATTTGTTTTTATAATTAGATGTGCAATTTATGTTTGCATACTTTTTAAATTAGAATTTGGATTACAATCTCTAAAAATAAACCACAAATATCAATTAGCTTAGATTTTTTTACCTTACACTGTAAAACCCAACAATCAACTTTATCAAATGAAATGAGTATAGTTAACTCAAAAAGTTCACAGTACTCATTTAGATTAGTTTTGAACTCAAATGGTTTGTGGCAATTGGTTTCCTCAAACGGTTTGGGTTGCCTTAACTGATTGGATGTTACAGTAATCAGTTTGTTTGAGTTCTCTTCATTTGATGGGTTTTACTGTGTTCAAATTGCTTTGTTTACTCAAATGGATTAAGTTCACTGTACTCAATAGGATTAGCTTTTGAACTTAAATGGTTTGTTGCAACGGATTCTTTAAATGGTTTGAGTTACCTTAACTTTTTTGATTTTACAGTGTATAGAAATTGTACTATATATCATTTATAATGATCTAATGTTACATTATTAAAAATATGTCATTTATATACACTGAAAAAATGATTTCTGCAAAATTGTTGCAAACAATTAGTATGGGTTGAATTAAAACCAATTAAATTTAGTAATGTTCAACTTTGTTTAAATGCACGTGTTTATAACCACTTAACATAAAAAGAAATTGTTAATCTAAGGAATCCTTTTTGAAGCATTTTTCAGTGTAAAGACAGAGAATGAATATTAATATTTTTGCAGAAACTGTAAGCGAACATACTTTAATCAACTAAGTTCAAAAGAACATTATTTGAAACATTTGAATTAAAATCTTTTGTAACTTTATACAGCTGTGGACAAAATGAAGATTAAATGGAGTTATTTTCTGTTTTCTGGCTTTGTTCTTAATATAGCTGTGTTATTTGATTAAATACTGATAACATGTTTTTTTTTTTTACAACAAATGTCTTTACTGTCACTTTTGAGTTTTTATTACAGTTAAAGCACCTTAAATGAAACTATTAATTAACACATATACAGATCTCAAACTTCTCAAACACTAATATATATGTATTATATAACTTTTGTTAAGAAAAATAATGCACCACAACGCATTGCATTTTGTCACTAATATGCTTTTTTAAAATGCTTTTAAAAAACAAAATGGTAAATCTTCAGTAAATATTATTTGGCAGTAATTTGACCCCCATTGTCCTATGTTCCAGAGTGTTAATGTTGGACCTTGTGCTGTATATATAAGCATGTGTAGTTGTAGCTGATGTAGTGGTTTAGTGACTCTCTCTTAAGTAGGCTGGACTCTCTGGCAGTCTCTTTCTGGCCCAGTGGTTGGATCATGCTGAGACGGCCTCATTCCTCGAAGCACTCTTCCAGACGGCTCATCACAGTATAAGCACAAATATTCACACAGACACATTTTAACATGCACGGTACACTGAGCGAGAAGGGTTCAAGCCAAAAATGGACAGGCAAGGAAAATGCAAAAAAAAAAAAAAAATTGCCGCATTACACATTCATGTCACTGATGGTTTTGGTTTCATAGTTAAAACCCTTTAGTTTGTAGCAGAATTTATTTAACTTTTTTACTGCATAAAAAAGAGATAAAGATAAAAAAGTAATTTTTTTTTCTTAATAATAAATTACTGCTACTATTTAAAAAAAAACGTTATTTTGCTTTGAGTATAAAAAATAGTTATATTTAGACAGATTTATATCACATAAAACACTTTAATTAAGTTTATTTTTCTTCCCTGATTAGAAAATAGAGGTGTTGTTATAAACATGAATTAGAAAATTCATAGAAATGTACCTAAAATGAAATGTGACCCTGGACCACAAAACCAATTTTATTTTGTGTGGGTTTATTGTTTTGTAATTACCAAAAATACATTGTATCGATGAAAATTATAGATATTTTTGCCAAACATTAAAAAAAAGTAATGAGTAAAGTTCATATTCCATGAAAATATTTAGTAAATATCCTACTTTACATATAGCAAAACTCGTTTTTACGAGTTCCGCTGAACTGTCTTTCCATTATAAAATTGCTACAGTACCAGGTCTGATTTCTTTAAAAATCAGTGATTTACAATGTCTGATAGATATACAATATAAATTGCGTGTCAAACCAGACAAGAAGCACTTTAGTGAATTTAGTTTTCCCTCACTATATTTTTAAAATATGACATTTTATTTTAACCCAGTATTTTCAATGGAGTTTTTTGCACTTGCCTGTTGATCCTGATGCCGTTAGCGGTTACACGGTCTTTCGTATCGTTTTACGCTTGACTAACTAAATAAATGCTCAAGTATATTTAACTGAATAATTACATCACAACATTGATGCTGTAAAAGAAACCTTATAAAATTGAAAAGGTAATACTTTACAATAAGGTTCATTAGTTAATGCATTTACTAAAATGAACTAATCATGAACAACACTTGTACAGTATTTATTAATCATAATTGAACATTTACTAATGCATTATTAACATCCAAGTCCATGCTTGTTAACATTAGTTAATGCACTGTGAGTTAACATGAACTAATAATGAACTACTGTATATTCATTAACTAACGTTAACTAACATGAAAAATACAGTAGTAAATGTATTGTTCATTGTTTGTTCATGTTGGTAAATGCATTAATTAACATTAACTAATTGTAATATGTGACCATTGAAAATAGTCACATTGAGCTTTCAACAGAAGTTTATTGTTGGCTGAAAAACACTAGCTGTGCATATGACTGGTTTTGTGGTCCAGGGTCCATATATATATATATTCATGTCATTAAATTCTATATGAATTAAATTCATGTCATATAATTCTATATTATTAGCTAAGAATACAGTAAAACAATATGAATCTTGGCAGTTTTTAACAAAATGACATAATTATATATATATATTTATTTATAATATTATTTTTAAATTAGAAGTTAATGATGTTTGTTTTATTTAATTCTCAAACAAGGCTAAAATTCTGATTAAGATGATTTTTTGCAGATTTTGTTAATGTCATCATTGTACTTAAAGTCATTTTGGCACGTACATCCTAACCATTCCTCCATCTTTCAGCATGATGAAACTTTCTCTTTGGTGTGTCCGAGTGTCTGTCTTTAATTCTCCCTGACTGCTTCCTCTTTTCCTTGTGATATTTCTTGACACCTGCCTAACAGGAGTGAACTGTGAATCAGAACTATAGACTGACTTTGTGCTTGTGTCTCTGTGTCTGAAACACACACACACACACACACACACACACACATTGCATATGCCATGGTGTTAGTTTGTCCCTGTTTCCTCTGTTTCTCTGATCGTTATGCTCCTTCAGTGGTGCCTCAAAATGATTGGATATGACAAGTCATCAAAACAACTTCCACCTCATTTTGAATTACAAAACCTATACTTTCAAACCCTATAACCTTACAAAACCTAAATACTTTCATAGCGCACCACTTGCCAATCCAGAGCATACGTGCAGGCGGTTCAGAGAACCCGAGGGGTTTTGCTGTGCAGAAAGCCATTTCACTTGCTAAGCTTTGTGTCTTAATCATTCCTGAAAAAAGCAAATGATGAAACGTTTTTCACTTCAGATGTCTGCTGTGTCATTGATATATTGTTGCTGTCTGGAGTCCTGCGGCCACAGTATGAGATCTGCATTCAGATAGATGACTGTTTTCCAGTCTACAAAGAAAAAAAAATAGACATATCTTTAATTCTCAACAAAAAAAATGCATTTATATGATGTTCACAGTGGCTACTGAACATTTGACAGTCAGACCTCAGCATAATTAATAAAGGCCGCCGAACGCCAAACAGCGTGTCAGTCATTACTCTGAAAATGTTTGTATGTTTTTCAGAAAACACCAACAACAAAAAATCATGTTACTCTGCTGTTAAAGCCTGAAACAACTTTTATTTTGTCGATTTTGTTTTATAGATAAGTACTCTGTGTTGAGGGGTTAAAGCGGGCGTGGGAGAGAAATGCAAAATGCCATTTTTATCATCTCACACTTCCAGGTATCTGGCTCCTTGGACATAAAAGAAAAGAAAAAAAAAGAAAAAAAAAGAAAAACAACAACGTCTGTGTGTGCTGACTGTTTGTTTGTTGTCTTTTTCTACTCATTCCCCCACCTCTCTTGAAAACAATCTCTTCCCCATCCTGTCATATGCCTGCCTCATGTGTTGGGTCATCCTTTTGTATTTCCACAAACTCGCTCACAACACACACAGACACAAGCAGACGGACCGTCTGTGAGGCAAGACGAGCCATGTCATGAGCCGCAGACTGACATCATGCTCACACTCAGGCCGTCCTCCAATCACCTGTCACCTGCATGCTGCGCCACACCCCTCGACTCCAAGCTGAGACACACGTTCCCTATCCCGCAGCGAACTGTCTTCTGCCAGCACTGAGCTACACTCTTTCCACACTTCTCCAAGCCTCGAGCCCACGTAGGTTATGAAATCGGCCCCCGGCGGCGAATGCGCTACGATATGTTTTTGTACGAGCTTACGCAATCAAGCATTTACTGCTGAAAGAGAATCCACCCGGGGAGTTACGAGGAAGGTCGTTACCATTCATTTCCAAAAACCTTGAGATTTACGCTGAAATCTTTGCTTGGAAATGCAATAATGTGGGCGCTTTTTGATACCAGTCTTTTTTTTCTAGCCCACTGAGATCTATCTCTTAGTGCCAGGCCGCATGGAGACTAGACAAATTTGGCTGAGAGAATGCAGAAAGGGGATTCTGCAAACCTGACAGGCAGTTAATTTGAGCTGCAGCTTTGGAAGGGAGCAGCCCATACTCAAGACGTTTGCCCTGCAAGCTGGCGTTCGCAAAACTTCAATATTTATATTGGTGCTGCACAGCCAGACTAAAGTGCCTAATTTACTGTTTGTTCCCTGTGCAGCCATTTAACTGTAGAATGTTGCTTAGAGTAGGTATTAATCAGGAGGCCTGGAACTAGAAAAGTCTTAATTAGTAAAATAATAAACTAATTTTAGCAGGTAGAAGGTTGTTTAAATCAGTGGTTTTCAATCTAAGGGCCTGGACGAGAATGTTTTGATGGATAAATATAAAACTAATTGTAACGCGACCATCATTCTCATTTCTCTCCATTAAAACTGATAAAATATTGTGCCGAATCATAACATAAAATGTGTAAATGAAATATATTATTAATAATCAGCTACCCACTAGAGGGCCTCAGCAGACTTCTAATGGAGCATACAACACCATAGGTAAAATGTTAGATATTTTACTTTGCGTGTGTGTGTATATATACACAGTACCTAAAATATGTGTTGTATTCTGCAACAAATTAAATAATAGTAAATAATTTTCACATTTTAAATAATATTTTCATAATATAATATAATTTGTCCTGTAAACTAGCTTCATATAATAAAAAGAAAATGGTATCTTTATTTCAAAGGAGGTACAAAATTATTGTTTCAAATAGAGGCCCTTTAAATGTTCACTGTATTTAAATGCAGTTTATTTTTGTCTGACTGAAATTGTACTAGTCAGGCTTTAGTGAAGTCAGAATAAGAGACCTAAATTATGTGCCTGTACAGTAGATCTTCAAGTTGTAGGTCTGCATTTTTGCATTTTGCACAAACATCAAAAGACAAAGTTGACGTGCATGCACTGTGAAAAAAAAAAGTTTGTATTTTTTTTTAATTCTGTAAAATAACAGACATTAAATTACATAAATTTCCTTACATTTAAATTTCCGGTAAATTTCCTTCATTTAACGTCTGTTATTTTACAGTAAATTTCTGTAATTATAGGCCTTTTTTATGTTTTTTTTTTCAGCACCCCAGCTGCTGGAAAAATATAAAATAAATAACAGATTTTTTTACAGTGTATGTTTTTAATCTTTCAGGTACTTGATAACACAGAGATGTTGTAGCTCCTTTATAACTTGCATGAACAATTGAAAACTTGCAAGACTGAGAACCACTGGTTTAAAGATTTGAAAGTAGCGCTTTATCCATATACATGAATCACACCTTGTCTCATAAAAAATAATAATAATAATAATAAAAATTTATTATTCAAAGCACATCAGCGCATTTTGGAAAACACAAGATCCCTGGTTAGCTCAACAACACAAATCAAAGAACAGCCTTCCCACAATCCCGTTTCCTTCACTCCTATGTCCTTTTTAACACCACCTTCCACCAATGTGGTGGTAGGACGGGTACCTATGAACTGCTCCTTGATCTCCTGTCCCCACCAACCCAACCAGGTTCCCCATTGCCCCTTTTTACTCAGGGCCACGCTGCCTGCCACTGGTGGCTGGAATCAACAAAGTGCTTTAAGCTGGTCCAAAACAGAGGCTTTTTTATCACGGCAACAATGTCAGCCCACCTCACCTCGTGAGTTTGTTTATTTTTGTGTTTGTTTGTTTGTTTGTTTGTTTTGAACAATCTATCTTTTTTAGTTTTACACTTATACACTTTCTGACAAAATGTGCAAAATATTTACCTGTAGGAAACCAAAGATGTCCACTTAAGGCAGGGGTGTTCATACCAGTCCTGGAGGGGCACTGTTCAACCTCAACGCACCTTACTGAAAGTTTTGAGTTTGCCTAGTAAGAACTTGATTAGCCATGTTCGGGTGTGCTTAAATAGGGTAGGAGCTAAAATATGAAGCACAGTGACACTCCTGGAGCAGGATTCAACACCCCTGCTTTAAGGGTACTGTCCCAGTAATAAGCTGTTTTACCACTAAAGTCACTTTTCTTGCATATTTTGTTCTGAGGGTGTAGTAGTGCAGGTGCTCTCAACTCTGGCCCCTGAGGTCCACTTTCATGTAGAGTCTAGTGCTGCTCCTGGAAAACAGGTTTCTTGCAGGCTTTAGATCCAATTAGAGCCTGTTTGTAGTAGATGATTGTAGTAAGAGTGTCAATGTTTGTTGTTTGTAGATGTTTGTAGTAAGTGTGAAGACCTTGGTCAGCTTTTTCAGGTGTCTTTAGTAAGAGCTAAACTCTGCAGGACAGTGGACCTCAAGGACCAGAATAGAGTACTCCTAGTCTACTAGATTAAATTGTGCAGGAATGTCCAATCTTGCTCATGGAGGGCAGATGCCCTGCAGAATTTAGAATCAACCAGCATCTGCAAGTCTCATGTGAGTCTAAAGATCTTGGTTTCTGCAGGACAAAGGTCCTCCAAGAACAAGTTTGGACATCCCTGAACTACAGTTTTGTCAGAACCGTGGTTTCAGATGGATTGAAAGTGGACAGGCTTTGTAGACTGTATTTCCAAAACTCCATGTGTCACACTACATCGATGTTGTTATTAGTCCAAGAACAGTACTAGTTAAGACTGATGTATTTTCATTGCCATAGCTCAGTATGTTTCCCTTTTTGTACCTCTCCCCTCTTTTTCTGTCTTGCTAACTACGCAAATGCTAAAACCTCATCGGACCTGCTAAATCTCCATCAATTCCCACCCTCAACAATTATTTTTCTTTACCTCGAACTGCATCCAAACTTTCCTCCCATGTTATTTGTTCAACAACTCCCTCCATTCCTTTACCTGCATTTCCTCCCACACCACACACACATCCATTTCCCTGTTAACCACCTCACGCTGTCCCGCTTCACTAACCCATCCTGCTCTGTATCTGCTCTTACGATTACACACCCCTGCTCTTCACTTTACACCTCTTTTCTCCTCTGATCCTGTAACAACCTCCGCTCCTCCTCCTGTTCTTCTCTCCTTCCTTATTTCCCCCACTCCACTTTCCTCCTCCTGTTCTCCCTTCCTTTAGGACGATAAGGAGATCGACCTGGAGCACCTTCATCACCGGGTTAACAGCTTGTGCACGGAGGACGAGAGCCCCCACAAACAGTTCTCCACCTCCTCCATCGACCTGACGCCCCTGGACATGGATTCCCTCCCGGCTGCCCGTCAGGCCCTCGAGCAGATCAGCGACTTCCGCAACACACACATCACCACCACCACCTTCATACCCGAGCAGATCCAGACTCTCAGCCGGAGCCTGTCAGCCAAAGCGGCAGCTGGCTTCGCCTTCGGGGCCGTGCAGGACCACCGGACTGGGGGGCCCTTTCGGCAGAGAGCCCCCAACGGCGGCTTCTTTCGCAGCCCTGTCAAGACAATGTCTAGCATCCCGTATCAGCCCACCCCGGCCCCCAACTTTAGCTATGGCAACGACCCGGACAGGGGCACTTCCATATAGATTGCAGAGATTCCTGGGTCTGCAAGTCGGAAACAAAAAAGAGATCTATGTAAATACAAATGTTCCTTTTCGATTGTCGTTTTCTCATGGCTTTCGCTCTTCGCGATGGAGCTTGTTTGCCCAGAACGAACTCGCCAACAGGACGAGGATGGAATAAATTGGTCGTTATTGTCATTGTGGTTTGTCAGGAGATTTTCTCTGTGAACTAAAAAAAAATTGCCTTTTGTTTGCCACATTCGATTTTGTGTGAGAAAGAAAAAATAAGACTGAAATATTGCAACGATGATATATGTTTAACATTTGGTTTGAATTTAGTTTTCTTTCTTTTTATGGAAAAAACAAAAAGACTCTTTCCAGTGTTTCCCAGAACTGCAATAACTCTGTTTGGAAGAATCTTGTCAACTCATCGACTGAATTTCGCTTCTGCTCAGTGCTCCCTCTAGTTGAGACTTTGAACATGGCACTGCTAAAACTGAGAGAAACAACCTGCTTTTCTCGAAAGCCTCGCAAGCGAGAGACTGTGTTCCCAAGGAGCTCTCTGCCATCTCACTAAAAGTGAGATCTACAGTACCTTGAGTCTTTATACGAACACTCCGTGGAACAGATCTGACTGAACTTTAAAGTCAAAATTTAAAAAGTTATTATACTATAGGGAGGGATGAAACAAATGCTACTAAATGTCTCTTACTGACTTTAAGTATAACAAATCTTTAATGCGTGGAATGTGTCTGGTCAGAGAGTTTTAACAAGAAAAAATGTTCAGAGCTGTATGTAGTTTTAGTTTTCTCTCTCCCTTTTTTTAAATGATTAGTTTTGAAATTGCTTCAGTGCCATCATCTTACGTTAATTTGCACCATTAAACCATCAAGAGTTTGTATTCACTTCTGTAGCCATACTCTGGATTCAACGAAAACATTCTGTAGAATAGCTTCATTGTATATGCCACAATCTCGCAGTTGTGCGTCATAGATTTTGGAAATCAAAGAGTGTGAGAGTTTTTAAACAAATTCTTAACACGAGCCTTAGGAGATGGGGCTTTTTTTTTACTTTTCAAGGGTCAGTCCTCAACCTATTACTACGCCATCTGAAAACGCTGACATGGTGGCGACTTTTGAGGGGTTATTTGAAATATCTTTCTATTTCATTTCATAAATGTTAAGGGGTAATATTTATCTAACTTTTTTTTAAGTGCTAATTGTTTAAATGAGGCCATCAAGGTTTGGTAAGAGTCAATTAAAAGAAAAAAAATACACATTTTGAGGACAAAAACAACCAATCCTTTTCACTAACATAAACTGTATTAATATTTACTAATGTTAGTCGTTTAGAATGAGCTTTCAGTTTGTTATCCTCTGACTAATTCGCAAATGTTGTGTGTAGAAAACAGCAACAGTGTTTTGACGCAAGCATTCTAGATGTACTTTTCTTAAGATATGATTACTGGAAGACTATAGGAGCAATTTTATTTAGTATCAGTTTAAAGATTTTTATTTAGAGTAAACAAAGAGACATTAAAGTGTATATTTTACATGCAGATAATTTTTATGTTGGATTTAAAGAAGATATAGAGTATAATATCTGAGTCTGTTAAGCTCAGTTTAGCCACTATCACATTACAAGAAGTTCTCCATGGTTTCTCTGACGGTAAGGCATTCTCATTCGACTTCATTTCGTTTTCGATTTGTCAAAAAGGAGGCAAGGTTTGTTTTTTTTCCGTAAAAGAAGCATGCAAAACCTGCTATGCCTGTAACATTTTTAATTTCATACATAGAATTGTACAGGATTACATCATTTTCGACTGATTATAATGTACAGTATTTAATATAGGCCTATTTTGTTGTATGTGTTGCATATTATTCAAATGGAACAAACTGAGGCCTCTGTTACAAGTGGCAAAGCTTTCTGTGTATAATTTGTCTAATAAACATGTTTTCTACAGTGGTTTTTGTTGCGTTTATCTGTATCATCAGAAATGTTGAACAGACCCAATAACCTCAGGGTGAGCTCACCATCAATATGAACACAATGAAAGCTTTGGTCAAAGGTTAGTCACTGCTGGTGTTGGTTGGTCTTTGTGAACCGGATTCATGCACTACAGGTCAAAGTGAAAGGCACCACAGCATTTGAAGTCATGCTCTGATGCTTGGAGAGTTTGTCGCCACAAGTCTGACCCTGAACCAGACGTATAGGCCAAGTTCTTGTACGTGGGTTTATTATTGCTGTTGATTAAGAGTACACTCAAAAAAAAAAAAAAAAAAATATATATATATATATATATATATATAAACAAATTTTTTTTTTGCTCGTTTAAACTACTTATTTAAAATTAGCTAAAAACAACACAATTCTTGAGATTTCATTGGGACAACTTGATTTTTTTATGTTCAATCCACATACATTTGGTAAAAGTGTTAATTCATTTGTGTTGGGACAACATGAATGAATTGTGTGGAACCCTGTATTTTTTACAATGTATAATGTTTAGACATGGGTATAGAACTTAAAATGAAAGTAAATTTAACTTTATTGAACTCATAAAGAGATTTCTTAAATACATAGTTCAAGTAAAAATGAAAATTGTCCATTAAGATGATGACTTTTTGTCTCAAAGTTAAATGGTGAGTTATATAATAAAAGTTAGCAGCTTCTGTGTGTAAAAAAATATGTATACATATATGGAAAAACAAAATTAAAACTCATGGCTTTTGATGATACTGTATATTCAGCTCCTGTGAAGCACAGATTAGTTTGTGAAGCCTTTTATTATACTTTCCATGTCAATAAAAATGAAACGTGCACCTATTCTGGATGCTGCAACCTATCTCAAAAACAAAATTATAATACGTAAGTAAGGAATTGTTTTTTTTACATATTCCCAAAGTGTGTTTGTTGAAGTTTCATATTAAAATGTTAGAATGTTGTAAATAATGTTCATTTCTAACACCTTATTAATCACTTAGCTTCTTAAGGCTTTATATATCATCATGAGCCACAGCTATTACGTTGTGCCTGTATGGATAGTTTTTAATATAACTCAAAATGCTGATATTGACTTTCATTTTAAAGCATGACTTTCGAGCTGACTTTCATCACCAAAGACCACGATTTTAACCTAAAATTTTCTACAGAAGAGAAAAGTTAATTATTTCTTAGTTGACCTGAGGATGAGTAAATTAATACACTTTGGGTGAACTATCCCTTTAAAAACTGCCATACAGATGTAGTGTAGCTTTTAGGTAGACAATGGCTGTCCAAAATTGTGCATTCCCCTGAGTATAGCACTGTAACAAATAATAAATAAATTATATTAAAAAAATAAGTCATGACTAGGCCCATGCGGAATCTACATGTACATTTTTTTGCCTATTTAGCCTGTTTATTTATTTACTTGTGTAAATGTGTGTACATTTATATGTATTCAGTTTTTTTTATTATTAATTTCAAAAATATTACTGACATATGAAAGTATTCAGTCAGCACAGTGGCACAGTGGGTAGCACAATCGCCTCTGCAAGAAGGTCGCTGGTTCGATCCCCAGCTGGGCCAGTTGGCATTTCTGTGTGGAGATTGCATGTGGGTTCACGTAGGGTGCTCCGGTTTCCCCCACAGTCCAAACACATGTGGTATATGTGAATTGAGTTAGCTAAATTGGCTGTAGTGCATGTGTGTGAATGGGACTGTATGGATGTTTCCCAGTGATGGGTTGCAGCTGGAAGTGCATCAGTTTTAGGTTAATTTAGCTTAAAACAAATGACCAAATTTTAATTTATGATTATTTTAAAAGATTTATTTATTTATTTTTTTTGTAAATTTTATTCAACAAACAAATGTAAAGCAAACACTATTTATTTTCACAGTGTACTTATATTGATTGTTTAATATGCATGTCCTATTGTCTTTTGGACTACTTTTTGAAGTCAGACATGCTTCTCTTGTCACATTCTGTTTTTACTTGCAGGGAAACATTTTTGATTCAGCCAAACAGTTAAAATCTACAGCATTATTTGCATTTCATGTTCCACGGGAGGCAATTTCCACATGAAAACAGTGATCATTCAGATTTGCTGTTTGTACTGCTATTTGTAAATAGCAACAATGTTTCTGAAATAAATTACCACTTGTTGTCGGTAGGTGCATTACATGTCCACTAGATGTCGCCTTTGTTGTCGTTTCAGTAGTTTTCGCTTCTGAACAGCTGTAAAGATGCTGCTCAAGTGCGCACCTGTTCCACTATTTGCAGAATCTGTGATTTTATTTTAGGTAGCGTGTATAAAGGAAAACTGTCAGTCACAATAAATGCTTGTAGATATACAGTCTATAATCCATTCATGTAATCTCATAAAGTGGGCATAATATAAATATTTTTTTTTTCTATGAGAAAGGACTTTTGTAACAAAGATGGCAAATGCATATATTACACATTTTCTATTAATGGAATGGCTTAGACATTAGTAATAATAATAATAATAATAATAATTATTATTATTATTATTATTATTATTATTATTATTAGACTTGCTTGAGGAACTCTAATATACTTTTATCAAGCACGCGATATCGTTGTTTCCCGGGAGACAGGAATGAAGAAAGCAGCACGCAGACTCGATTGCAATGGAAGCCCCCATCGAGACACATT